AGCACAGTCAGTCCCCCAATGGGTGGAACCGGTGCACCCTTCGTTGCTTCTGCACTGCCCTCAAATCTTTCCCAGGAACATGCCAGCCTCAAGAAAATTCTCTGGGACCGGCAAAAAGCACTCTTTGCCTGAAGCACCTCCAGTGCCGTCAGACGTCGCCGCCCCCTTTTCTTGGGGGTCGGCGGCACGGCGTCAGCCCTTAAATAATGCTGATTGACCCCAATCCTTCCAAAACAACGGAATCTTCCTGTGAAAGCTCCCAGCACACCGCCCTCACCGCCCCCACCGCCCTCACTGCTGAGGGTGCCAAATATGCGCCATATGAAACCATCATAAGATGTCACAGAAGCCAAGCTCGGCACTACTTTTTTGTTGGGGCCCGAGCTTCGACATTTCCGACTATGGTGTTTAGTTGGCGTGAAGGACCCAAGGCTCTGGAAGTTTCGGGCTTTGAGCCTAGGTGAACGCTGAGACACGGATAGACAAGCAGGGAGCCCACATTCAACACATGCTAATGTCAAACAGCGTTTGGGCTTTGTAACCCTGGGATATAATATAGACCCTAAAGTAGGTCCTAGGATCGTAAACCTACGCCTGGGGCAGCCGGCTCATCACAAATGGCAGGCCAAACACCTCGGGATGCTTGTCGCAGCAGGCTTGCTTCGCTCGGAACTTGGAACGCGAGCCTAAGCGCAATGCGCAGTTTCAGAGTGCCGGCCCGAAGGTTGGCAGGCAGCTTCCCTAGATGTGTACAAGGCTGTACTTGACAATGTTTCCACACATCTCCCTTACAGCAACCTGTCAAAGATGAACTTCAAACTTCATCAAAATGAAGCCAAAATCCTAGGCCCCTAATCTGAAAGTCCATGAGGTCTACTCCCCAAGTCCTCTCTCTTCCTTGCTAAACAAAAGACCAAAGTCTTCAACAGCAAGCACTTGGCTAACTTGGCCAGCAACCTCGCGTCGCTGCGACCACGTTCTGCCGTCGGAGCGGCAAACGTCGACCACACGCCGATGCATGGCCTCCACAAGTATAGGCTTCTATGGCTCTTGGCATGTTTTAAGAGTGCTGCTCAGCTTTTCCATGGCTATGGCTGTGACTGCTGAGAAGGAGAGCAAGTGTCCCACAAGCCCACAAGCATTTCAAACATTCTCAAAATGATCAGCATTCCTTGCCTTCGCAACCCAGCAGACCAACTGACTCCGAATGCAGCTGCAGCGTGCTGGGTATCACAACCACAGAATACTCAATCAGAATGCACCAGCTGGAACGTTCTCTCCTATTGTTGCTTCTGTCAACACAGGAGGCAATGCCCTTTCCACAAGGACGACAAACAGGAACTACAAATCTTGACCAGTCCCTTAGAAGTTCAAGGTGGGGGCAGCCTGAATCATCAGCACCTGCACCGAGCTCGGAATGCTGAGGTCCTGGCGAGGAGTGCTCAGTGATGATTGAAAGCGAGTGGGAACCAGTTGACAATGCCCCTAGTAAGATGTCATCATGTTTCTGTGAGCATTCTAGATTGGCATTCTGTAGTGAACTCTTGTATCGTGGGAGGGGGCAGGAAGGTTAGCGGCCAAATGCTACACAATGTTATAGTGCTGTATCGATCGAAATTTGCACTGTCCAGGTTTTGAAAGTACCAGCGTTCATCGCCGAACAGTCTTGTCAAGTGGTTCTAGCTTCTAGAAACTGTCTCATAAGCCTCACCACGTAAGTTCTCAAAGTAGATGCGCAAGCAAGGCCGCTCTGATTTTCCCCTGGCATAGCACGCTTCTTCCAGCGGGTAAAGGTTGTTGACCTGATGCGCGAGGAATTCCAGGGTTTAGGACTTGACTTTCGAGTGTAGATATGAAAGCTATACGGTGAAGGTCTAGTCACACTTGAATGTTGCACCCGATGCTGTCTTGATTTGTGCTGAGTTACGCGCGGGGACCATGAGGAAAACAGCACATCAGAAGTGTCAAGAAAGGGCCGAACATGAAAGAGCCAAAAGACTTGCATTTAGGGCCTCGCAGGCACTATTTCGAAGGAGTAGTTCTGTGGCCTGGCCTTCATACAACACGGGTAAATGCGCATCACTTGTTGATATACAATGCCTTAGCCTTGACACAGTTTGCTTAGACTGCAAATGACCATGACAAGTGGGGCCCCCGCAGCAAATCCAATTTGAGAGCTTCTCCAAATTACAATCCCCGGAAGAATAAAGAAACTGCCCATGGTTATCGCGATGAGGATTCCTGCCACGTTTACTAGATCTGGATATCAGCAAGCGCTTTTAGTTCACCCTGGCTTCAAGTACGACCAGTCAAGGAATATGGTTGCTGACAAGAAGTGAAAGCCAGGGCAGCAAGTTAGCTCCTGATCTCGATTCAGGGCTTCGTTAGCACAGATTTTGTTGCCTTCTCTTTTGCAATTTTTGCGAGTTGTTCAGATGAACCACTACAGGCCACCTACTGCATCCCCAGGCCAAGCAACTTGACACTCTCAAGCACCTACTGTAGCACTGCTGCATGACTCCTACCCACGGTTTGTCCCAGGTACTGGGTCGCAGAAGCTCTATCCACAGGCATACTCAAGAAAGGCACACTGGACCTCGGCTGGATGCTACAAGCACATGTCTCTCTTTCGGGGCATGGCTTTAGAAGATCTGTTGGGAAGTGCATATAAACCCCAGCCCACCAGAAGCAAGAGGGATCTCAAACGGTGACTCAGGCTTATAGAGCGCTGGAGGGTGATTTGGGGCCTCGATGCTGTCATGGCTTCAACGTGTTGATTGATCAATTCAGTTGTGTTTGGACTGGTATGGGCTGGGTGAGTGCCCGAGAACAACTTGTGACCAGATCATGGTATTGTAAGAGAGCGAAACTAGATTCCTATTCCGGCGGCTGCCTTGACTCATGCCGGAGGAACACCTATCTATGTCGCTGCAGCTAGAGACTATGAGCCAATGAGCATCCTCAGCATCTGTGTACCGAAAACGAAAAACTCGGAAACCCAACAAACTATTCTGTCTACTCAGTGCCACTCAATGAAGTGCACAGACGGGAAGCACTTATCACCGGCTTGCTGAGCCACAATACCTCCGGACTCAGAAGGGATTTCCAAATCGTCCAGATGGTCGCTTGAGCTCCTGAACCTATGACCTGAAGCAATTCATCCCAAACCTAGCCCTTGAAAATCCGAACACCAAAAACCATGAGGAGACCCTGGCAGCCCCGTGACGAGGTCGTCGTCTTTTTGTGGCGTCAAGTAGAACTCCTTCGTATTTGGGGAATCGCTTTCTTAAGCCAAAGGTCACGACAACGTTAAAGGACAAGAAGCCCAAAATGAGCTGTGCTACGGCAACTGAGCTGGATGGAAGGTGTTCCATGAGCCACAGCCAGTTTTGCTTGCATAGGAGAAACTCTGTACTCGCCAGCAAGAGCAAGCAAAAGACCAACTGACATCCACAATGAGGCATGAGCAGCAGAACCAACACAAATTCAACATTTTTGGTGCAGCTCTTCCGCAAGCTCTGCATAGGCATTCCTCCACTGCTGTGTTAGGGAGGGTTTGGTGACCGCTACTCAAGCAGGACCAGGACTTGGCTTGATAATCTATGAGACCAGAACGAGTCAACTCACGTGTTGGTGTTTGTTCCAGTCCTTCTGAGTGGGGCTGAGGTTGTTATCCTCGCAAGTGGTCCCCTTCATGCTCTCCTTCACGAAGTAGCCTCACACTTTGGAAATGTGGGAACATGCCAACAGGCTCAAGTATTCGAGTAGAGGGTTTGAGCACAGGGCTTCAATGCCCACACAGACTGGCAACCGCAAGCAGTGCATGTCTTGCATTTTGCAGATGTCTCAGTAGACTCAACAACTGTTAAACCCTGAGGTTACGGTTGGTGGCTTAGGCATAAGTGCACACTGCGTGAAGCCACTTCCACGTAGCGCCGTTGGCAAAAACAACAAGATCAGGCCCCAACTGCGCTGCAGCAAGGGCACGGCATTGAGCAATGCAGGCTTCCAGCTTGCGATTTTATGAGTTCACGGCTGGGGTTGGGCATGTTGGATATGGGAACTTCTCAAGAGCTCTCCATCAGGGAGAGCGTGGGCTCTGAGGGTCAATCTCAACAGCCACATGACCTTCCCCTTCCGTCATGGGGGCCGTACACCCAAGCGCGTCATCTCACAATGTTGCAATGGGTTCCAATGACGCACGAAATCATCAAAAACAATATGAGGCGGAGGGAGGGTTCCCGTGTCGGTTGCATGAGCTACAGCAAGCGATCCCTATAAGCTCGCCCTCCAAGCCTCTGCACCTTCATGGCTGAGAAGAGAAATATGTATGTATATATCAATCCAGAATCACCACCTTATCCTGAATCCTAGCATGCACCAGATGCGCGGCTTACAGATTGATCTTCTTGCTGGGAAGTCCAACTCGCAACCCTAAGCTAGGAGCCCGTAAAATCCTGATTGCCCTCATTCCCACACATCACACACTACATGGCTTGCACAGACCAAGCAGCAATGCCCGTCCGGATCTCCAAGCTCTCCGCCTCATGAAGACAAAACACGGTTCATTCGTAACGTAAACAGGGCTGCGCTACTTACAAGAGCTCTATCCAGCGAAAGGTATCTGACCCTCAATCCCCGAAAACCCTACTTCGAACGCAATCAACCCCAAAATCGAAACCTCTGAACCGTCAACTTGTGCAGTCATCTTGCAGCAGGTAGAATGCAAGGTTTGAAGGAAAAGTATGGCTTCCCCAATTTTGACATCCACCTCCATCCCCCTAACCCTTTGATACCCCCATGCATGTACTGCACGAGTAACCCTACGTCCCCTTACAAATGGCGTAAGCGGTAACGGGGATCGGAATACCTCGATCTTGAAAGAACACCATTTCCATTAACTCCTATAAAGATGCCTGTAAACAGAAACCGTCGGGGTCCCAGCCATCCACTCTCACCTCGCAGCATACGCGGTCCAGGGCTTCTGACGATGGATCCTCGATGCATCAACCTTCCTAAAATGACGTGCTCGTTAGCTCGGTGAACAAAAGTGAAACCTAACAAGTATTTCGGGAAACTCCTTCTCAGTTCGTCTGTCATAGTTTAGGGCGTGGAGTGTGAAACTACCAAGGCAAACTCAAGTGTGAGGATGGAATTGAACAGGCGTTGGGGTCCGCCTACGGCCGGCCGAACAATTTTCCTTTGAATCTGAGAATGGCTCGCTTATCGTGAAGGATATTCAGCGATACAAAGCATGCAAACATGTCTATGTAGCCTTGCTGCAGGACCATCAGGCCTAACCGTCATGCAACCCTGCATTCGCAGACATGACGCAGCAGGGACTTGGCCCAACTCCTACGCCCATAGGGTCTACATGGCGGCTGGAGAGAGACAGATCTCCCTCCAACCATCACAAGTGATCTCTTCTTTTCGCCACCACCGCCGCCACCACTGCCACCGCTTGCTACCACCACCACCACCACCACCACCACCACCACCACCACCACCACCACCACCACCACCAGTACCGCTGCCGCCGCCAGCAGCAGCAGCACCAGCAGCAGAACCACAATCAGCAAGCACAAGCACAAGCACAAACCTGTTTAGTCTGTGGGTATGTCTTAGAATCCGGCTTCGCCTACAACTCAAGTCACTTCATGTAGTAGCTGCTGTTGACGATGAACTACTTGGAGCTCACAAGCCTGGCTCACAGCAACGGAAACCCAGAACCCAAAACTCCTAGACTTTCGGCCTTCTTTTCCCAGCAGACTGTGCCAAGTGCCAAGTGCCAAATCCAGCTTGAAGCTGTGCTGAGCTTACTACCTGTCTCAAAGCAAACGCCTGATATTCGCCTGGGCGTGCAATTTACGACGTCTAAACAGGCAATCCTGACAAGTGTCCCAGATGCACCCCCATTAGCACATTCCACCCTAAACCTTGCTGCCTTCCAGGCAGAGGCTTTTTTGCTAGCTTTTGGATTTCCGTCCTCGGCCCCATGGGCATCGCGCATCGCCAGAGCAACAGGGATAAGAAAAGCCCATCCTGCAAATGGACACAGCTTGCGGGGACGTTCCAGTAATTTGTTTAGCTAGGTTACTTGTAATTTGGACTAGCTGCTGCCATGATCCTGCGCACCTTGCAGGCTTTCATCCTTACCACAGGTAGGGGCTGGGCATTGGGGAAATTCTGCTGCCTTGCGACGGTCTTTAACCTGTATATGAAAGGCACCCACTACAAAGCCTAGTTGCGAGGAGCACCAGGCGTCGAGGGCTCTTGGCTTGAGGTTCAGAAATGTTCTGGGCTGAGAGCATACCCTCCTGAACTTTGGTTCCAGGGATGAGCACTGAGCCTGGGAAGTTCATGCTTGGAGTATAGACACGGACTGCAAGAGCTGAGCAAACAATGAGAACATGAAGAATCCATAACCTTGGTCAAACCAAAAAACTAAAGGAATGGATCGTGACAGCTTAAGCCATGACAATACTTACGTCGGGCAGCTGCACGGGCGAGCTGGGGATTGTGCACTGGCACACAACAAAACAAGCTAGCGCGGGCCTGTGGTATTGCTTCTGGTTGCAAGACAACACCGAGCAACGAAGAAGTTACTGCGGCAAGTTCTGAGCGGTGCCGCAATTCTTCACACTCATTATCAGGTCATGGACCCTGTTCGCTTCATAGTCTCTATCACTCTTTGCAGCATGCTTGTCATTCCTGTGCTCAAAACATTAAACCCAAATGAATTTGTTTCCAAACCTTTGAGTGGTTTTCTTGATTTCTGCGAGATACCGGGATTCTGATGGGCTTGTGAGTCCCTGTTTGGGATGGTATAGGGACTTGTTGTGTAAGGCCTTCATGATAAGGAAGCTAATATTATACGGGCCTACGCTGGCCTACACGTACTTCATATCCAGAAATGGCCGTTATGAGCTTTGGGGTATCTCGGAAATTTGCGTTGGAGAAGCCATCTTTTGGCCAAAGGCAACATGAAACAAGGGATATGCAGGACTACTGAGGTGTACTTAGCTCAATGTTCTTTGGTAGCCCACACAAAAACTATCATGTCCAAACTCTGAACCTGAGGCTCTGGCTGAACATGCGGTGCACCATGGACAAAGCAAGTGGAAAGTTTGGCACCTGAACTTGAAGGGTCTGCCCATATCCTACAGTGCGTCTGGCAATTTGCTACGCATGTGATGGACGCTGCGCCAAGCATGGTTTTCAGAGCATACTCTGCTACGCTTCAAGAGCCCTCTTGATTTCATGTAGGGCTTGAAGAACTAGATGCCGCCTCCCTGAAACTTCAGTGATCCGTAGCCTTCCATTGGGATGTATATAGGAAACGGATTGGCTGAGTTTTCAATCCAGCTCAGGTCCAACACTCCGAATCCCAAGCTTCAAGCTCAAACCCTAAGCCCAGACCTGCACTTTGCCCGGGATAGTTCCAAATCTACAGCCATCATCCTTGGCTGATAAAGCCCTTCTGCAGAAATATCTGGATGCCAAATCAAGGAAGGTGGTCACCGTACTCTTTCGGGCGCATAAGCTCTTTTTGGGTTCATGATGCTCGTAGAGCTGCACCTTCTAAATCCTTGCATGTAAACCCTCGGCTCATGCATCCCCATCCTCAGAATCAAGGCCTCAAACATGCTTTTCATGCCCCAAACCGTCCAACACCCCCTCCTGAGGGGTTTTGTGTGGGCATGTACATGAGCTGAGCGGCTCATGTAAATGTATGCTGGCACTGTGGAATCAGTCAAGGCACGCAACTTTGAGCACTCGAAGAGGGCGGCTTGACTCGAGAAACGTCGCGGCACGTGAAGCTCAGAAGCTTTAAAGTCTCAGGGCTTCGCAATAGGATGGTTCTAAAAAAGTCCCGGATCCTTTTGGGGTTGCCCGTGCGCTGTTGAGAGATTGCTTTGGCTTGGGAGTTTGAATTGCAAGACTTAGCACATAGGATGTGCATTGCAGACAGCGGAACTTTGTTAAAGGATATGCCGAGTCAGATCTGAGATCTTTGTGATCCTTCTCAGCTTCTGCTGAGGGCTTCTTGCAATGCAAGCCTCTCGTTTGTGCATGAGCTTCCCAAGCCCTAGCTAAACCGTAGCAGGCACCGCAATCCGAGATCAACATTCAGGAAACTCCCTAGATGTAGAGAAATTGCTTTGGGCCTTTGTAGGGGTCCAAGAGCACTTGACAGGCAGACGCTGTTTTTTGCCCAACAACCTCCTAGATTGAACAGAATGCATTTCCGGACCCTAAACACAACAGAAGGACCAGTCGAATTGCTTTTTAAGTTGATTTCAAACAGATGTTGGTTGATTTACAGGTGAGTTCAAACGCATTCAGGTTTCTCTGCACATGCGAATAGGAAAGCTGATTCAGAAACCTGACCTGCTTAGTAAAGTTTGCTCTGAATTAAAGGCTCAAACATTGCTCTCTGAGCTGCCCCTTCTGGCGCTTCCTTGACAGGACCTCTCTTCAGGCATAGTCAAGCCCCCTAGAAGAAAAGCCCTAGAATCACTGATAGAAAGATTAATCATAGGGAGAATTGTTATGTGGTTTTCAACTGAATTCAAATAGACTTTGATTGATGTACACATAATTCTTAAGTAGCTTTTGACGCATTATTGTCGGTTTTGAGGAGCTCGCCTTAAAAAGGTTCAAAGTTTAGGGGGACTCGCATACGCGGTCGCTTTGAGAACGAGAATAGGAAACCTGATTCTGAAACCTGATTTGCTTCCTGAAGTTTATTACAAGTTGAGGGCTCAAACATTGGTTCCTGAGCTACGCCTTATGGAGCTTGTGTTTGTGAGGGTCTCCCTTCATGTGTTCAAAACGCCCAAGAAAATAGAAAGACCTGACAATAAGAAGGACCTTTGAATGTCTAAACGGTTTTGCGCTGGCTTACAAATACTTCTAATCAAATTCAGGAGCTTACCTTCAAAGTTTAAAGCTTTGGGGGCCTTCATCTTCTTGGTTGCTCTGAAAGCGAAACTTAGGAAAGCTGATCCTGAAACCTGATCTGCCTAGTAAAGCTTATTCTGAATTAGAGGCTCAAACATTGCTCTCTGAGCTACCCCTTGCGGAGCTTGCGTGCGAGGGTCTCTCTTCATGCATAGTCGAACCCCTCAGAAGAAAAAATGAATAATAGAAAAAATAAAAAAAAAAGTTCATTGCGAATTGAGGGCCTAAGCATTGAGAGCCTCTACGACCCTGCGAAGTAAACGTCTACAATCAACATGAAGCCCTTGAAAACCTCACTGTACTCCGGAGCCCTGATAAAAGCAAAGAAGCTTCACAAATACATGCAGATTGCAATCGGGCGCTCCCAAAAATTCTGCAAAAAAACACCTGATGGGCATAAGCACGGTCAAAAGCCCCCACTTGCATAGACCTACAGAAGCATTGCCATCATGAGCCAAAGGTTATGCAGGTCCTCTGGCGACTCCCTCCCGGGGCTTCCAGGAAGCAACCGCTGCTTATAGTCCCAGAGATCCTCAAAACGAGGGCTGAGGCTTCGGTCGGCCCTGAAGTTGGGGGTAGCTCAGCGTTGAGGGGGGTTGTGGGGTGCTTCTATTGTGCAGCACCTTACGGATCAGGTTGAAGTTCAGGATTTCTAAGGTTGCCTCACGCTGTTCAAAAAGATTTCGGAGTTTATGGAGTTGAGGATTTGATCGTTTGTCGCTGCAGGCGCGAGCTAACAGAGTGTTCAGAGATTTTTGGGTTCGGGGCCGTGTCCCAAATCCTGGTCCTAAGATTTAGAACTGAAGGCCATCGATGGATCCTCGGGGCTTTGTCACCTCAACGTGCAAGGTTCTTGGTACGGGGCTGCGCATTGCGTGCGTTGTGAATCTTGCAACTGTTTACAGATGCTCTAGGGCTTGCAAAGAATGCGGAACTAGGATCTCAAAGTTTCTCAACATTTTGTAATGACTGACTTCGTGCTTCAGAGCCGCACGAGTACCCAGTAGGCTGCCCAGAGGAACACAGGGTGCGACATGCGAACCTTTTGGCTGGTTAATGATGTTTGCTCTCACAACTCCTTTTGGCTTACATCTGCGCAGTCGAGAACAATTGTTGGGAAAACTCATCCCTTTACCATAATGTCATCACTCCTGAATGCTAAGCCCCCATCGCGAGCTCAACGATGCCCACCCTCCATTCCGAAAACAGACATCACAATCTTGAGCTGAGATCTCCCTGCGTAATATGAGGAATGTACGAGGAACACATTTGTCATAGATGCTCCCTTTCAGTGCTCATCTTGAACCCATCCTGAGCCCCAACGGCTGTCCCCACAAGAAACTTTTCTTTCAGCCTTGTGAAGCGTCTGCTCCGCGCTACCGTTGTCTATGCACGCTGGTCAAGGAAGCGATAAATGAATGAACTCGCCACGCGTCAGAGAACATTGCCGGTAGGTTTCCTATTAGAACTGCATGAGGAACTTTGATGCTGCCCTTGCTTCGGTGCTACCCTCAATAAAGCCCTGCTCAGGTAGGTCCAGGGTACCCTATTCCTGGTGTAGTACCACTGCGACGGCTGCCAAAGCCCCCACCCAACGCCACCCATTGTTGTCAGCTTTAAATTTAATGAGCTGGTCCTCCTACACCCTAATCCTGTTTTTATTGATGGAGCCTGTGGCGTCTGCGGTACTTCGAAGGCCACAATCTGATCTTCGGACCGCACCTGGCTTTCTGAGCTTCTCTCAGGTTGTCGAGCATATGGGGCACGACGGGGTGCAGAAAATGTCTGCCAGGAATTTCTACAGGCTTCTGTGTAAGGAAAAGAGAGAGAAGGCCATTCAAGGCCTTGCACTGAATCTACTGCCCTGTAGACGAAATGTAAAGGCCTGATGTGGAGCTTTTTCAATTTCTACAACGAAACCTCAGAACGACTTTTAAGTGCTTGCAAGATGTTATAGACCCTACTACCTTATTACTATACTACTCTGTTACAATACTGCAATATCACTATACTTACTATAATACTGCGTCTTCCACTACTATACCTTTCTCACACTACAATATTCTTTTACGACTGTATTACTATTTCAGAATGTTGCTATATTACTATGTTAATATGTTACCATTTTTTAAATTACGCTATTGCTAGGTTACTATATGAAAGCTAAACTGCTGAGTCGCTGTATTAGTATTAAACTATATTGCTATATTGCCATTTGGCTTATTACCTCATAAACATAGGTCTGCAGGTCCATACTTCTGTCTTGCTATGTTGCTACACTCGTACCTCGCAACATAGGTCTTCCCTGCTGTGCATTTGACTACATGACTAAATTTTGTACATGTATATATATACACATATATATATATTACGACTAAACTACGATACTACAATATTACCGTAGTACGAAATATTGCTATATTCCCATATTACTGCTATGTTACCATATTCGAGGAAATCCCGACATTTGAGGAAGTCCAAACATTAGAGCATACGACTTGCACGCGTCAAGGGCTCATGGTTTGAGGTTCAGTCGCCGTAATTACGTAACACACAGAATGCACGTAGAATAGAAGCCATGAACGGGTTTTGGGCAAATAACCGCTTCCCCCCAATATTAACCCCCCCCCAGAATTCCACATTCTGAAATCTGCACGCCAAGACCCCTTTCAAAAGGGCCAAACTAAACTTAACTACGGCTCGGATCCTCTGAATTGGTTGGGGGGGCGTCCCTAACATGACTCACAAGGATTAGGGATCTCCTCGATTTCGATAAATGTTGGTTGTTTCTGAATCGTGTTTATAAAGGACTCTATAAACAATCTGAATCCGTTTTCAACTCGGTTTATTGCGACTATAAATCCCTTTAAATCTAATTTTCAGATAGATTTCTATTGATTTTAACCAGATTCAGATTTGGATGCGACTTTTAGTTTGATTTTAGAGTTTGATTTGGTTTTTATTGGTTTGAGTATGTTTTTTTACATTGATTCCAAATTGTTTTTATTTCGGTTGCAAATTTGTAAATATATTTCAATTGTTTTTAAATTGGCTTAAACTGATTTTGGAATGATTTGGAACGATTCAATTTCAATGCTAATTTCATTCACTGGGCGATTAATGGGCTTGTCACTCGATTGAACCGATTTTTTTACTTGATTGAATCGATTTTCTTCGGTTTTGATTGGACTTCAATATGATCCGTTTAAATATCCCACCCCGCACAATGTTCGGGTCGTACGATAAATGCCCCAACCCTTTAATATCAAATACGGGCTCAAGTATGTACGTCAGGGGGGAGGGACGACGTTGAATATTTTAAAGGAAAAGGATTACTGTACCTACTGTTGAGGTGCAGGTACACTCTATAACTTCAGCAAGAACGGTAAGAGTAGTAGATATGTGGCACTATCCTCGACGTTTTACTGCTATGCGCTGTATGGCGGCTCAAAAAGGCTGCTCTTGCAACTGTGCGGAAATTATGAACGGCTCCCCCCCGCAGTTGCTTGAATATGGCGAATGATGAGGAAGCCACTGCATCCATCCATACCGTTGCACTGCGCTGCAGTAGAAAATCGCGTTCTTTCGAGGCTGTTTCTGCGGTTGCGGATGTGAATCATCATGAGAACGCTGCAATATACACCACATGCCTCAAGCCCTCGGAATGAATCCTACATACCGTCATCAGAAAATTTCGAGGAAGATGCGCAGCTACTGATCGGTGCCCAAACGAAACCAGGCTGTGCAACTGTTTTTTTCGAAATGACCCCGGATTGGATTTGACTTGCACCAAACATGCCTTACAATCTCATTTGAGAAGCCAAGGTCGGATGGGACCGATTGCTGTTGATGTTGGCATGGATCCAAAATCTGCATGCAAATTACTTACATTGCTCGAAAAAATTCTTGCCGAACCACTTGCACAACACAGCTTTCATTAGCTGATGCCTACGCCTGAGACCGTGGGCAACCAACAGCAGTTTGGGGCATCGCACGCAGCACCCCAACCCAGCCAGGTCTCAACTCGCACGCGCCTACAGTTGAAATGATCGCTGCGCGAGTTCAAGGTCCTAAGGGTCTTACCTCAGTCCTGAAAAGAAGTGCAATTGAATACGCGCGTGCAGCTCGGGCAATGCCGCCAGCCGCCAAAAAAAAGACTGAAACAAGCTGCTCGGCGACCATACCTGATGCTCAGCTAGCATTATGATATACGAGCTGCACCCACAGTGAAAAAAGGACCTACGCGGGCCAGATTTCCGCATGCCACCTATCCATATATGCCGGACAGCTGCTCTTCAGATCGTGTTCGTCGTATGCCTTTGTGCCAAAACTCATGCTCACTTGGGTTCAACGAGACCCAAATAAGAGCATAAGCATTACGCGCATCTGTGCGACGACAACAATAGGCTCCACCCTTTTGCGAGCGAATGCGCGTGTTCCAGCATTGGGGGTCTCGTACACACACCTGTCTCGAAGGAGCGCGCTATGCGGCAAACAGATTTCACTCTTCAGCAGGAAAGGAATGCAGTTAGGAAGAGCTAAAGCGATCACACCATGTGCCGCAAAAATAGAAGTTTCAACCCAGAAACAACCACAACTATGAAGTCATACTGGAAAATTGTCATGCATTGCTGAACACTCGTGCACGTGGTGCAGGTTCAAAGTTATATGAGTAATGGCTGCGGTCTGGTCCTCGGCCGCAATCATCTGGTGACATGTCACATTCAAGCCACAGGTGTTGGCAATGGTACCGTCCGCTGATGCATCCGACTTCAAATTAGCAAAGATCAAACAACCCTAGCATTCAGACAGTCTAGGGGCAGAAAATCAGCGCACCTTAGGTACTGAGTCGCAGGCAAAGCTGAACGCCAGCAAATGCAACCCAAAACTAACGCAGTTGCGTGGAGCATGTGCGATTGTTGCCGTCCGCCCTTGCTGCTTAGCAGAACAGCAGGATCATCTGTTCTTGCACAAAGGTCGATGAGCGCAAACGCTTGCTGCGGGAGCTGGAGCTGCTGCTCATGCTGCCACAACCATGCATCTGCTGCTGCGGCCCACTTTGTTCACTGAAGTTGCTGCTGGGCTACCGCAACTCGTGCCGCACAGTCACACTGAAGGGTGCGGCAACCTGCAAGCCTGCATCCAGAAATTTCACCACGTATGAATTGAAAAACAAGTGTTCGGCCTGTACCGTTAGCCTCCCTGAGCTACCACGGAATTTGAATTGCTGCATGGTGCTCTATGTTTGTTTGGGGAGACTACACAGGACAGGTGCCCGGGTCAACCAGTACGTAGCATATAATCCTTGCCAGCATAGGCCACACTGCCCTACCCATTGGTAAGCACAACATATTCTGAATAGCTGGCCACATCTATAATTTTGGCCATATACATTTTCTCACAGGCAATTGTAGGGGGGTGAACCACAGGGACCATCAGGATGACATGGAGCATATTCCCACAGATTAGGACACCGTCCAAGCTTTCAGGTCGAGCTTGTGTTTGGAAATCAAACGCCTGGTGGCCAGTGTTCACGTCATGTTGTGCCTGGCAGTTCTGAGAGCCCCACGTCCGAAAGAGGCAAATTTGGTTCGAGATACCTGCGAGCACCAGGTGCTAAAGTGCGGGGTGCTAAAGTGGGGGTCCAAACTTACAGGATGCTCATGTCTTCAAGTCGGGTGTCTGCTCATATACAGATGTACGGGGATTTCATTCAGGTTGGGACATTCTGCTCTAGGCCAGGCAGAACTGATGAAGAGACCAGCAACTGGTTACAATCAAAGTTTGTCCCAGGAACGGGTTGGCAAGTCATGGATTGTGATTTGAAGTATCAGGCTGACCGCGCTGCGTCGCAGGGATAGACGTTTAGGTCGCAGGTCAGCAGGCCCTGGAGCTTCTTGGACCAGTAGTTGGGGCAACTATCAGGCATGTCAGACGTTCAAAGCACAAAACTCGGATATTGCCTTTTTTTTGCCATGCAACTTTATCACAGCGTGCAAACAAAGAACATCCAAACCCTGAAATCACTAAACATTTGTTTCTGTGAAACACCTCCACATGTACTCCTGCGCGGCCAACAAGAGCTTCAAATGCCGGTGGCAGATATCTTTCACACTACCTCCATGGCCTCAGGACGCCGGTCGCGTCCGAGACTTAACCCATACTTCGTCGTGTATAGGCATTTCTCAAACTAGGGGTATACCCTAGGGACCCTACGGGGACATGTAGCGAGTATGTGCAGATTATTGAAGAATATTGAGGATTCTCATTAAGGACTGTACAGACAACATTCTTCAAAGTGCCCATCTATCTACCATGCCGGAAACCCTGGCTGAGACCAACCTTCGTGTTACTTCGTACAATGGTACAAGAAACTAAATGTAAGGAACCACATCTTGAACGAGCCGGAGCATCGACTACACTGATGCCAGCTTGGTACGCCTTGGGTTCAAGACAGGCGCCAACTTGCTCACTTCGCTCCAAGCTCCGTTACCATCCCTCAAACTAGCATGGAACTCGAAGCGGGTGCCTACATATAGTACGGTCCTTGTAAACGACGGCTACATCGGGTTCCTGTGCAATGACTACAATTTGCTTACCCAACCCTCAGAACGATGGCCCTCAATCTCACATGACTCTTCTAGCAGTAGCATCCCTTGTTAAAAGATAGGGGCTACCCAAACCCTCTTCTTACTATGCCCTGCACTCTGCAAAGTTTAGGGTCTTGGACCGACGTCCTCAAAACAAAGGCAACTTTGAGCATATCTTCTTCGTGGAGCTCGGCTCTGGTCCCGTTCCACGGGAACAAATGCTTCTGAGCTAGGCGGCCTACACAAATGTCAGCCCAAAATGTAAGCCCCAATACACTCCAATCCTAGATCGACCCCGCCGGTCCATGCCTGTGTATTCGACTCCTGTAGACCTGCAGCATGCTTCATTGCTTGGGCTATTAGACATCTGTTAAAAATTACTATGCAGTGCAACTTTGTGCGGCTTTAGAGACATGTCGTGGTACTCAGCACGGCCACTACTGCAAACGTCAAGCCAAGCCCAAGAAAGCCACACAGGAAACTCAGAACGAAACAGCAGTCGCCGAAATTGTAACGAAACCTAAGAATGCACCGAACATGGCGAGATTTGCAACTGGTAAAATACCACAAGCCACATGAAACCAGGAAACTCGAACCTCTGCGCTTTGGGCTATATGCTTGTCAGGATGAAGGGACGAATCAGCCCTGAACCCTTCCTATGCATGCCATCCTACACGGACACAGTTCTGGAAGCTGCCTGTTCCCAGCAAGGGCTGCATGTTCACATCCCGTATCCCCTAACACAAGGCAACAGAACTCTGCATCAGCAACAAGACAAAGGAAAGAAGCTAACTGCGTGGGACTAGAGCGATGAATTCATGATTCTGCTCAATCATGCTGGCCTGGACAGCCCAGTCAGGACAAAACAAGTTCTGACATCAATTCGATATGTCTGCTACGTCTCGCACAATCTTGCCTTCATTGGAAGAACAAGAAGCAAGCTAAGAGTTCAGCCTCCGGTCCTCCTTTGGCATTGCCATTTCAAAGCCTGAGAGGAAAAAACAAACCAGAGCACATAGATACATAGCACCTTGAGCATGGGCCCATTTTGCACGCTCAAAGTAACTCTGCCCTAAACCCAACATCCATTGAATCCCAATCGCCTACACTGGCATCAAAGCAATGTGCGCCTCTGTTGCTTGTTGCTTCTGAGGATTAGCTCCATAAAGGGAGCAGTTCAAGTAATTAGTCTTGCAACACCAGCCTGAACGCCCAAACTGAAACACTCAAAGTCCAGAAAGAAACCAAACCCAGCCCCCAATACAGCCCTTAACAGACTCCCTGCTCAAGCAACAAGCCAACTGAATGGGCCTCCGCTAGGAGCAGGGAGGATCTACCAACGGACAGCTGCCGCGTCAACGCCAGTTGCACGCCTCAAGCTAAGACGGCTTCATAGTGGTAAGCCAAGAAATGAATACAGGAAAGGAACAGGGGAACTAGGAATCAGGGTTTAGGACTCTAAGCCTTGGAGTTTAGGCTTGGAGCTTCTTGCGACTCTGCAAAGCTTGCCCAAAGGTTGGGGCTCCTGATTAAAGTTCTCTTTTTGCAACCTTAACCCTCTAGCATATTCCCAGGATCCACTGCCTTTTCGGCGAACGCCCCGCAACCTCAACCCTTTGAGCAAATAAGACTGGATCAGGTGATTTGAAGGAAGGACATGAGGGTTGGATGATGCTTTCGAGTTAGGGGCACTGAGAGATGGAGGTTTTTGGGAGCAGCCTCGGATTTAGGGACTAGCTGTACTATTAGTATAAGGATTTGTAATGCCTCTCACTCAAGCGTGTACACTAGAACCAAAACCTGAAGCCTTGCATATCCATTTGGGACCCTACCTTCAAAAGAAACTTCAAGATGAGCTGTTCGACCACGGAGATGTGAACCGTCGTAGCTTGATCCCCTAAATCTGATTCGACCTCCAAACTTCGTAATTGAATCGATGAGTTCTTACACCAAAAGGCCGCTGCTCCGCGCAATCTCCAGCCGCCCCCCCTCCGTTAATGCCAACTTGACTGGGGAACGCATTATAGCAATCTAGAAAACACTGAACCACCCAAAAACAAACCCTTCCCTCTCCCCTGCAAGGGCACCTCTGGCACATCCGTATACTTTACTGCCCATCTGAGCTTGACACGTTTCGCCGTGGAACTCTTTGGCACAGCGACCTCGACCGAGGCTGAAGATGTAGAGCTTCGAGTTTGTGGGGCTTGGCTTTGGGGGCTTCCAGGTTCAGGGCTTGGAGTTGAAGGTTTTGGAGTTTGGGAGTAGGATTGGGGCTTTTGGGATGTTGGGGTTGTAGAGTTTGGGAATCGAGGTTCGGGGGCTTTGGCTTAGGCTGGAGTGATTAGCATACCACACCGAGGGATTGGAGGTAAGGTTAACATGGACAACACAACAAATCATCAAATCACAAGCGAGCAACTTTGGAGCCAAAGGCGGAGCCATGTCTCATCTTGCAAGTCTAGGGTTTGGAGTCGGCGACAGAGCTTCCGGTTGTGGGCATAGGGGTGTTGGTCAGAAAACCGAAATCTTTTCAGGCCAGGCTTGGACTCCCTGGGAGCCGACCCCTTGAACCGTTTCCATACCTAAAATGAGACCATGGTCAACACCAGGACCTTAATTGCAACCAAAAAAGCCATGAAGACCAAGCTCCTGAAGTTCACATTGCCAAATTCGATTCCCATACACTGAGCGGTAAGCCTTGAACCAACCCTTGAACCTCGTTCTCGCAACAGTCTGAAGCCCCTTAATTCTTTGAAAACTTGCCGACCTCAGGTTGCTTTCCAACAGAACCCTGCGCACTCCTCAATCAATTCTACCCTCATTTGTTGCTACTGACACTGATATTGCGGCTTTTTGGACGACCGAGAATGAGATCTTTAACCCTAGCCACTTTGTGGTGGTGGTGGCGGCAGCGGCGGCTGCGGTGGAGGGGTGCGCTGGCCGCCGCTGGCCACCCGCCCCAACTGTTATGATGACTGCTCGATATAGAAGTACAACGCAACCCATCTGCAGATGAAGTGGCTGCAAGTCGCTGCGGTCTCGGCCGCTCGGCTGGAGCCGACAACGCTGGGAAGAACACGACCTGGAAACAGAAGGAAGACTTGGGGTTTGGGACACAGGGTTCAGGATGTGAAGCTTAGCCTTCAGGAATTTGGACTACGGATCTTATGCGGGAAATACTTTCCTTGAGGTGGATGTTCGAGGTACGGTCTAGGAAGCAGAGGCTAATGGACACGTCTTTAGAGTTTGTGTTTTCTGTGGAAAACATGTGATGCCAAGATGAGGACATGGACGTCGCTTTTCTCAGTTCACCTCAGGACTCAACTAGTTGCTGTGCTTCGGTGAAGGACGCTTGAAAGGTCTTGAATCTCCCAACCCCGAACCCTCTAAAACCCAAGCCCACAAACTACGAATTCCCAGAGCCTTAGGTGCCAAGGTTTCCCTCCAGATGTTCCCTGAGTTCAACTAGGCCTTCAGCTCGAAACGGTCCATGTGGTTGGACGGAATCGGTATGCTGAGGTAACCTCGGTTCCCATCTGCAGGTCCAGATTTTAAGCTGTATACGGGTGGTAGGAAGGTCTTTTCCCACTGTTTGATTACATATCATGGAATAAGACCGTATTCGTGCAAGCACATTACCAATTCCACAGTCTCTAAGGAGCGGGGCTGGTGCACGACTACTTTTTCACTTGCTTGTCCTCAGCGAAGTAAAGCGCTTCTCCGACATGCCCGATAGTTAGATTGGTGCTCGGCCTGGCTGCGCCCCCAAACCCAAACTCAGGTATCCCAAAGATCAGAAGAAAAAGAACTAGATTGGCGGCTGGCAGCCGATACCCCAATGCGCTCCAAATCTGAAGCTAGGACATTCCCTGCCAGAGCGTGGTGGGGAAGGTTGCACCCATATCCCTGAAGCACAGCGCAGCTCAGAAAAGGTGCTAACCAGGCCCTGGTTTGTTCATGTTACCCATGAAACATGCACGCATGGAGAAGTGACATGAATATTCCGCAACACGAACTCCAACGGACATGAGCCTAGATCCCATGATTGAATTGCCTTATAGGCTCCAGAAGCCCCAATCAAACATCCCACCTTCCACCCTCTAATGCTGCACAAATTGCAGCTGCGAATCAGAAACAATCCTACACAAATTGGTCCAGGTGCGGAAGGGCTCGAACGTGGAGGACGTGTGGTTCTCCGGGCACATGCAGCGAAGCTGACTTCTCAGCTGGCCCTGGAACCAGGCTTTCGGATCTTGAAGCTGTTCGATTGGGGTTTGGGGTTTAATGATTGGTGTTTAATTGTTTTCAGAGATAGGGCTTTATGCGTACTTACAAGATGTCCACTGGAATGTAACACGTTAACACCTGGGAGTTCGGTCGCACTGTCATCCGGTTGTACCCTGGCTCTGGCGAGGTTACTTTGGCATGAAACATGTGGAGGCTTGGCCCTTTGGACGAGCCAAGTTGCCTACCTCCGCATCTGAACAAGACTTCCATATCCTTGATTGTGAGTAGTGCGAGTAGGGCAGTGCTGAACCGGCTCCCTGGGCTGCTGAAGACACTGAAGACGGATAGACAGAAGCATCTCCAAACATGGAAACTCCCAGGATAAATCACGTCAGAGCCAAATGCGTTCATCACAAACCTGGCAAGCTAGCAGACTGCAGGAGACTTTGTTCCACACACTCATTGATTCTTCGTGGCCGATAACACGAGAGGCAGGAACGAAGTCAAGCCCAAATATGATACTTGCTGTGCCATGGACTCCGGTGGAGCGTAACCTTTGGTCATTTCGGTTGTCTTTAGTCCTCTATGGTTCTATAGAGCCCTTGGCCCGTCTTGTCTCGCATAAGTCCACGGCTCCTTTCCGCAATTTCTCAACCTCTTCGAGCAAAAGCCGGCCCAACGAAACAGAGAACCTACATGACGAGCCCTCAGCAGCACTCAGGCGCCTGAATAAATTAAGATGTCCGTGCCAAATGACTTGAGCTTGTAGACTTGACACACCGGACAAAATTCAAGTGGTTCCAGCATCGAGAAAAGGGCCTCTCTCGGAAGGTTTTCTTTACTCGCCACCAGGTCAGGTCGGTACAACTTGCCCAGACGACACCAACGCAATTGACTCTCAAACGTCGCGAGAATCCCCAACCATAGACAAACAGTCTTGCCTCCCTTGCGCAGACTTCTGGGGCCTCAAAGACGTCGCCAACAATGCTGCGATTCGCAACGCGGTAGCGCTCCCACCGCAAGGCAGCCTCTGCTTTGAAAAGGCTTCGCTTCTTGATTGCTGTAGCCCTTCTTCTGTTCCAACTGCAAAGCACATGAAGGGTCATGTGTGGAGCACAGCTGCCGCTAGCCGCGGTCCAGGGCTCAGGATTGGGGTGTCAGATTTAAAGTCATTGTCAGGATGCTGCCATCATCTGTTGCACCTCAACCAGTATATATTCATTTAGGATACAGTCAATACCTCCTACATAATTCAATTGACATGGGTTCCCCCTTAATTAGGGACCATATTGGGAACCATACTAAACTACAACAAGGACCCCTATGTCCACTGTGAAGGGTCCCTTAACAAGACTAAGAGCTCAATATATCTTTCTCTCTCTGTCTCTCCAAATTCTTTCCACATCCCAAAGCGTGAAAATCACCCAGCCCCGAGCTCGCCCATTTACAGAGTTCCTGTTTCGAGCAACTGGCCTGGGCAAGGACTGCAAGAAAACACATCAACAGAGTCCTCTTTGAAGCTATAAGAACCCTCCAACTGATTTGATTGCCTGCTGAAGTAGCTGAACTATACCAAGACTCGGGAACTCATCCTCCAGAAATGCTGCACCATAAATCCAGAATACTGAGCTCAACAGCGCTGAAACTTACAGGATTCCGGGGTTCCCTTGAAGGGTCTCCTCACCGTTTTCCTCTGGAATCCCTCTGATCGACGGAACGTGGAAGTGTCCCTCTCAACGCCTTTTCAATCCACTTCCAAGTATATGGCCTTCTCCTCATCTGGCAACTTGTCTTCATCTATCTCTTTCTCTTCGCCCTGGTGAGAATGTGAGGTGTCAATAAAAAGCGCATGTCACCACCTTCATATGGCTACATGGATGAAACATATGCCTTGGATGACGGGATGTTAATGGTTTGAGTTCAGGGGCTCGTCTACTGATTGAAGCTCCGCAATTGCTACTGTATCGGGCCATTATTGGGAGATACTGAGGTGAAGGAATGGGGTTCTCACATGCTGGCATCGGTCAGGGGAGGAAGTTTTTCCAGGCCTTGCCATCCACCCGTAAATCTTTGCGGCACTCAGTCAGTCCCAAGGTGCAAAGCTGTGGTATCCTGGTCAGTGTCCATTCCCACAAACATGAAACATGAAAGACAGAGTCGAACCTAGCCTCTAAGCCTCATAGTTTCATCCGAAGCTCTACACCCGGGATACCTTTTTATCGGCCACTGCAATGACCCAACAACTCGAAAGAGAGCTGTTGAAGATTCGTGAACCGCAAGACACAGCTTCAAATCCTTTGTCCAAATTTTGCTGCATCGGCCGACGCACCTATCAAAAGCCAATCAACAACCCTTAGTCCCGCATTTGCTCCCGCAAACCCTGGCCTTGTGCTCACAAGCAGCATGTACAACCCCCGACCCTTAAACCCCCAGAAGGCATCGAACGCCTGAACAGCAGTTGGAACTTGCAAATGAATACAGGGGCAACAACACACCCTTGTTTCTGGTGACCTCCTCATTTGGCTCGGGCGCCGCTGCATCAGAGCGGGGGGAGCTTGGCTCCTACGGTCCAAGGACTTGGTACGGTAGATATCAAGCTGCATTTACAGCTTATTAGGAGTTAGGGTTCAGTTGAGGGTGTGGGGCTTGGGCTATTACAGAGAGCCATTACGAACTCCAGGGGTATAAAATGGGGAGTATGCGGAGGACTTTAGCGATCTCATTCAAGGGCTTTGTGAAGTTGTGTTGACACACTGCGGTTCAGAGGTAGATCAAAGGAAATATCTGCAGGTGTTCTACTCTCTGCGAAAAGTTCATACAAGGATTGCCACGGCCCTTTTGCGTTCCAAACGCTGCTCAGAGTTAATCGACACCTTCATGAAATCAGATGCTGGTACGGCAGCCTATGGGGCCTAGAGTTGTGAGCAAATGCCGATCAACACTGCGGTGTTCGTTCATCCGTGCACTCGCCAAACGCACTTCAACCAAGCGCAAAATCAGGGTGAACTCCAGAAAGCATAGGCAAGGAGGCTCCATGTCGAGGAAATCGTAATTAATTATCCCTCACCATGATGTCACGGTTCAGGAACCTAAGCCCAGAGGCGCCCCCCGGCCACTGCGATGCTGTTACATAGTTGCTGAACACCCAAACCCTGTAAAATTAGCATTGTAGTTGATCGCAGCTATACTTGCCACATTTTTTCTTCTTCCAAGGCCATGATCTGGAAAGCCCTGAGCATCCAAACCACCCAAACCACACGTGCCATGACGCGCCATGCTTGCCTGTGGCATGGGCTCACCTGGCTGGCATTCCATGGTTTAGGGATTGGTATTAGGGGTTTTGGAGTTTAAGGATTTTTGGTTTCGGGGCTTGGGGATTTAGGGTTTAGGGTCCCAAACCGCTCTAGCATGACCCATCTACGGCCCCAATCCGCTGCGAAGGCTTCATACCCTGCACCTCAAGCGGGTATGCTCCGTAGACTGTAGACCGCTCGGAAGATGATACTTACAGACCTGAATTTGAAGGTGCTGGGGCAGGGAGGGTAGAACATTTTGTCTGACCAGCTTGGCAACGCTTGGCATGTCGGAGTACTCTTCTTCACACTCGCCATTACCAATCCTGAGACCCCAAATCCCGGAACCCTCAGCTTGCAACTGTGTAGCCTCATGTCTGCACATCTTTCAAACAAGATCATTCCTAGACCCGTTGCCAGCAGAACACCTGAGCGTTGGTTTTTATTCCTTATTGATTCCTTTGGAAATAACAACCCTTCCACCCATGAGCTTCCGCTGAGCTTTCGGGAAGACTAGTCTCCTCTTGGTCGGCACTTCGACACATCTTGCTTCCACAGACCCTTCCGCGAACAGCGTTTCAAGGCTTACGTAGGGTTGCCAGGAGCTTCCGCAAGAGCTTCCGCGAGCATCATGCTTCCGCAAAACCTTCCGCATGCTTCCCGCACACAGTGAGAAGCACATTTCGGAAACCATCCCGAGAGATCCCAGAAGTCGTTTCTTCGTATTTAAGTATCGGTAGACAAGCGCGAAACAAAAACGGGGCTCCGCTGGACTCTGGAGCTTAATCCCTTTCAATCCCAGGCTCTGCAAGGCTTCTTGAATGTATCACCCCCAACCTGCTGCACAGAAAAAGCCTCGTGCCTTCCTCTGGCCGGATCTCCGAGGGCGCTGAGTGCTCTGGAGAGGCGCGGCTTGTGGAGGGCGCCGAGCACCTGGGGTCTTACTCTTGCTGGTTCGTCCGTGGAAAATGAAGGTACGGAAAAGAAACTGGAAACCATTACATTCCTGAGGGTTGTATAGCGGCTACTACTGCAGGGATCCATTCCTCGATTCCCTACTTACAGCCAGCCAGCAGGCGTAAGGAGAATTATGATGGTTAAATCAGGAGGCTTTACACCTGTGATCTTAGCATTTGCTTCTGAACGTGTTGGAGGTTTTTTGTGCTGCTGTAGGAGGGCTTTGTTAGGATTGCATACTGGTTTGCAGGGATGCTAAAGTGCTCATGAAGATTTCGGAACATCATGCGCGAGTCAATTACAGATGCACTGCGTGTCGGCAGCGTTTCAGGCCAAGGGATTGTGGCTCCCGAGCAACGGCACAGATGTGGGACAGCTTAATGGACTCATAAACAAGCGTAAACAACCACAATGCAGCCCCTAAACCCTCTGAATTTCAGTGCAAGGGAAAAACACACAGAAACATCAGCCTGTCAAGAACACACAATCCTTGAGCTGAAGCCAGAACCCAGCAACTCAACAAATAGATATATAATATGAAGAGACTCATCATACTGCTCCGAGAAGAATCAAGCTGCCCCTTTCCTATTGCCTGGCTAAGTTCCTGAGCTCTAAACGAGGAGACCTCACGCTTCCCACTCCAACCTGGAAGTTGAAGCAGGGTTTCGACTTCCAAAAGGACAGCTGTAGGAACTCTAAGTGGTGGTTAGAATTTGGGAGGATTTTGT